AAAACATGTTTATCTAATCCTACCAAGGTAAACATGTTTATCTAATCCTACCAAGGTAAAACATGTATATCTAATCCTACCAAGGTAAACCATGTTTATCTAATCCTACCAAGGTAAAACATGTTTATCTAATCCTACCAAGGTAAACATGTTTATCTAATCCTACCAAGGTAAACCATGTTTATCTAATCCTACCAAGGTAAACATGTTTATCTAATCCTACCAAGGTAAACCATGTCTATCTAAGTTTTTAAATTTGATTGATCTGAAATAGTTTACCACAGTTTTTTCATTAAAAATGACCAACAAATTTTTAGAAAAGTTTAAAGTTGGAATTTTTCTAACTTATACTCACTTAACAACTATTAATAGTTTAAAGGGACTGTGTGTCCACATTTCAAATGACCTTTGATTTAAAAAAGTCGGGCACGTCAGATTCACATCAATACCCCTTAAACCATTATCTGTTTAATAATGTGGAATATTTTGTCATTTTTTCTAGATTGAAATGTGTTTAATTCTGATAAATGTATAATTGTCACTTTGTAGAGAAACCACAATCGAATATTAATCATTTTTGACAGAGTAGATGATGGATATATTCTTGATCAGACAAAGTTTCAAAGTGTACCGTTGTGAATCGTTTATGCCACTCTATAAATGGAGAATCACTTGAAAACACGTCTATATATATTCCCTTTAAATCTGTCATATTTTCCACCTTTAGGACCCTGATACAGATGATAGAAGGACAGGGGAAACAACTAGGACAGAAGTTTAAAGATCCAACAGATCACGATCCTGAAGGGATCAGAAGACTAGATCAATGGAAAATCAACGCAAGAAATCTTCTTCACTGGCGGAAAACAATTGCGTTCCTCTGCTTTTTGCCTCTCATACTTCTTGGTGTGATTGTTCCTCTTGTTATAATAATCGTTCTTGTTATTGCTCTTGTGTTATCCATGCCTTTAATGCTTGGTTTACTCTTCTACAATCTGTTCGGCAACTGCAAGAATATAATTGACACAAATGTGCTTGATAATGATCAATTTGTGGATCGCAATATTGAGGAGTTGCCTCCGGAGATCGGATCAATCGAAAATCCGATCTTCAGTTCCGATCCAACCCTGACCCTTCGATCTATTCAAGATCAGCTGGCTGCAACTGAAACTCTAGATCTAAGTTCTAAACCTGCAATGTCGGTTGAAGAACTTGAGAACGTTACAGTTCTACTTCTTTCTCTTAACCCTCGCCGGTTCACCATGAGAGAGTTGAACTTAAACGACTCTCGGTTGACCGACCAGAAGGTGAAGACACTAGCTCCCCTGGTGGTCAGGTTTAGAACCGTGAAAATTGGCGGGAAACAAGATTACGGCGTGAAAGGGCTGAAGGAAATCCGTCTGTACATGGAACAAATAAAAGGTGTTGGGAAGATTAATGGAGAATCTGACATATTACCACTAATAAAGAAAGACAAAATAATGCTGAAAAAACTTGAAATTAAGAGCACCAAGTCCAAGATGGGTGTCACCAACTTAACCTGGGTCAACGAAGAAGTCAAAGAAATAGAAAAGGTAATAGATTAAACAGAATTATAAAGATTTTGATTATTTATTATTGCTGATTGTGCAGGAGGATGAGAAGAGTCTGATTGTGAATGAGATCTCTCTGATGATACCTTATCTAAACAGTCTTGTTCTTGATGGATTCCTCAGGTACTTCAATCATCTTCAAGATCTTGCATGCTACCAGTTTTTTGGTTTAAAGAGACTGTTGTTGTAATTTCGATTGACCTTCCATTTAAAAGAGAGCCACGCCTGATTTACAATGGTACCCTTTAAACCCTTTATCTGATAAATAATATGGAAAAGGTCATGTTTTATCTTGATAAGTGTTTACGTAAACTATGTCCTCCGCTGTGTCTATAGCAGAAATGCGCAAGTCCCTTCAGATAAAACACACAGTTAAAAATAATCACTTCTCAAAGAGAAAATTATGGATATTTCACGCATTATTGATCAGAAAAAGCTTTTTCTGGTAAATGATTTTAAGTCACTTATTGAATAATGATAATTAGTCACTTATTGTATTTTTGGTCGTCTTTACTAAATTAAATCTATATGTTGCAATATTTCTTTAACAAAGTATTCCTTAGTTTTGTTTTTTTAGTAGTATTAAGAAGCAAGAGATTTATATCATTAATTAGCAATAATATTTCTGAACATGTTAAAATAACTAGTTTGTTCAGGGAATCTGCGGTGAAACCTGTGAGTAACATGATGGGACTTTACAAGGTAAGGAATTGAGTCTTTACCACAAACTCAGATTTGTATATCCCTTCATCATTGCAACACAGTGTCGTAGACCTTAAATATTTCAAACTATGAATTCTGTTGGATCAATTAATTTAAATTTGAAATATTAAAGGTTGCAAAGATATAGGGTTTAGAAATTTGTGTTTGTGACAAAGACTCAATTCCTTTAATAGAAAAATTAAAGAAAGAAATGGTTGATAATGTTTACTGACTTATTTCATTTAACAACGTAAGCCGAAGCTTTAAATCTCCATTCTGACTTTTGTAATTTGTCATTTTTCAGGAAAATTCCTTACAGCATTTGTGGCAGAAGTTAAACGAAGTAGATCACATGGAGGTCTTGAGGTGATTTATCTACATAATCTATATTTATATTTATCTACATAATCTATATTTATCTACATAATCTATATCTATAATTATCTACATAATCTATATCTATATTTATCTACATAATCCATATCTATATTTATCTACATAATCTATATATATATTCATCTACATAATCTATATCTATATTTATCTACATAATCCATATCTATATTTATCTACACAATCTATATCTATATTTATCTACATAATCTATATTTATATGTATCTACATAATCTATATCTATGGTACCAGTACAAACGTCGGACGCACAAACGTCGGACGCCACAAACGTCGGACAGTACAAACGTCGGACGCACAAACGTCGGACCAGTACAAACGTCGGACTAGTACAAACGTCGGACCAGTACAGACGTCGGACTAGTACAAACGTCGGACCAGTACAAACGTCGGACGGGTACATTTATAAGAAAAAACGTCGGACTTGGTAGATTTTGAATGGACCATTGTATTAAACAATTTCAAACTATGAATTCTACAAGATCATACAGTTTAATCCCTATATCTTTGCAACCCGATGTTGTAGATGTTTCCAAGAACAGTTCGTGGACTTATTGCTTTATTTTCAGAGGTTTCTTTAACTACTTTTTTTTCTATTTCACGTACTCTTTTCTTCAAAAGATCACTGACATGTGTATGCTCTCCCAGGAAACTGATAATCTTGTGATTCTCAAGAATTGTTTTTCCTTTGAATGCATTGGTAATCGGTTTTGTTGGGTTTCTTCTTTGTAACCCTATATTCAAACTGATTTGAATCAAGTAGGTGCCGTCCCCCCTGCTTAACCTCAATATAGTTAGCAGTCTCCTCGTCCATGTATCCAGACTTTGTGAGATTATGAATTTTTAACAAAAAAAATTGGAAATTTTTTTTAGAGAAAATTGCGAATTTACAAGAATTTCAATCTGAAAATTCAAATATATTTTTTCCTCCTTAGTCCGACGTTTTTCCTTATAAATGTACCCGTCCGACGTTTGTACTGGTCCGACGTTTGTACCAGTCTGACGTTTGTACTGGTCCGATGTTTGTACTGGTCCGACGTTTGTACTGGTCCGACGTTTGTACTGTCCGACGTTTGTAAGTCTTATGTTTGTACCGTCCGACGTTTGTGGGTCCGACGTTTGTACTGGTACCATATCTATATTTATCTACATAATCTATATTTATATGTATCTACATAATATATATCTATATTTATCTACATAATCTATATCTATATTTATCTACATAATCAAAATCTATATTTAATATTTATCTACATAATCTATATCTACATTTATCTACATAAAAATATGTATAGAACTTTTTGAAAATTAAAATCTTCAAATTTGTTTAGTTTACGTGACTGTGATATAACGGATCGCATTTTGATGAAGTCTTTAGGAAAAAAAGAGAAAATATTTTTTTTTGCAAATTTTAAAACTACATGTTATATACAATATCCAGAAATCAGAATTTTTATGTCGTAAATTTCGAGATCAAGTATTGATCTACATCTATACACAGATTGTTTTAATTAATCTTCTTTATTTCTTATTAAATAAGAAATCAAGCATTTATATTTTAGTTTAAATGTGCTGATATTGGATATAGAAACCAAGTGGTCAGGATTAACAATACTTCATTTCAAACATAGTGTAGAAAAGTAAACAGTAATCTTAATTAGAATTTTAAGTAAATTCTCTTAATTAATTAGTTGGGTTTGTAAATGTACGTATTCTGGATTTAAGTGGAAATCATGATATTACAAGCACAGGTGATAATCTATTCATTTCATACTCTAGGATTGGCTTGTTGAAACTTTTTAAAAGTTTAGTATCGAGTCTAAATTATAATAGTTAAAGTTGGTTATTTTTGTCGAATTAGCAACTTTTCGTTTAGTTTTAAATTACTAACTCTATTTATTCAATTGTCTACGGTTTAAAAATTAACTATTCTCTGAGGTTTTGTCACTTCATTTAATCACTATATCTTTTTAATCCAATGTCGTAGAGCTTAGATATTTAAAACTACGAATTCTATCAGATCAAATGATTTAAGTTTGAAATATCAAAATTTACATTTAAGGTTGGAAACAATAGTAATTTAAAAAGTTGAGTTTGTGACAAAGATTGAATTCCTTTGACCAACCATTGATGCATGACGTGATAATTTTTCGAACATTTTTAGAAGAATGGAACCTTGTTTCAGGTTGGAAAGCTTTGGTAGAAGCGCTCTTAATGCGACGAGAACAGAAACGATTAGTTCATATAATCTACCAGGTAGAGGGAGGGAGGGGATAGGGGGGAGGTGGGGTGGAGAGAGGGAAGAAACTGAAAATGGATTTGTGGTTTCGTGAGTATAAAAAATATCTCTCCTTAATATATCCTAAATCTCTTGCGCTAGCTCTAATTCCATGGAATTTGTCAATGACGATTATGGTGATAAAAATTGAAAAAAACTTGATTTGAAGCGTCTTTTTAACCATATATTTATATCTTTCCGGGGTTATAATCGAAACTTGAACTGAAACTTTTGCTATTTAATGAAACTTTTCTCATCCCTTCTCCATATTATAATTTCGAAAAAAAAAGTTTGGGTTGGATTTGGTGTAAAAATTAACAGATTTGGCCTTTAGTTACTTTTTAATTAACGGTTCTTTCCATTCGTTTTTAACTAATAACTTAACGTTCCTTTTGAATTAAAGGAATTTTTCTTAAATTTTTTAAATCTTTTTTTGCAAATCTTTTCAAGCTCTAACTGTGGAGTTTCCAATCATTAGCTAAGACTTGGGTTTGGATAAAAAAAAGTCAGGGTTTATAAAGTTGTGAACAGAAAATAATAAAATGTTTGCTAGCTCAAACTTTTCTTTCTATAATAAAAAAATACCATTTACGAAATTCTTAGCGGCGTTTTATTAAAAAGGAATAAAAGTTGACAATACTTTGACTGCACCTGTTATATAAAGAGAGCTTCTCACAGTTTCTTGTCTACTACATTTAAGTGTTGAGATTTTGTTTTATATACAGGGGGACCCACAAAATGTGAGACTTTAATGACTTTATATTTGACAATATGAACTTTAAATTTAGTCCTCTGTCTTGAAATAGACTGAATAAATGTTGCACAGTCGTCTCTGAAGTCTCATTCTTTGTGGGTAAACCAGTATATATGTATTCTATGAAACTATTGTGTACTTTATCGTTCTTCCTCACTTCATCATGAATTTCATAATAAACGTGCTATAAAGTTAAATTATCTGTACATTATAGCACGTGTGCTATAAAGTTTTGATTGGTTCCCGCATTTTCTCCAAAAAATCTAGGATATTTCCAAAATATTTATTTTTCAAATGAAATGAAAATTAAATTGAAATCAGCTTTATATTTTGACTTCTGCCTTGTTTCAAAGCTTATTTGATCTAGAAATTGCCATTGAAATTAGAGAAGTACACAAACGTTTCATAAAATTACCTTAAACATTATTAGTTTGGCACGACGTGCTATAAAGTTTTTGGACTTAAATGTTCTCTATATCTCAAAGGTTCTCGCCTTTTTAGATTTAATTTTTTAATTTAAAATTTGAAATTAGATTTTAAAAGGCCTGAACCTTCTCGATAAAGAGAAAATTTCTGTTCAAAAACTTTATAACACTGCGAACCAAAATAACAATATTATAATGTTATATATAGTTATTATAAACAATAAGAATCTCTGTATTATCATTATTATTTTTGATGTTTAAAATATAAATAATTGTAGAGTTACAAATACGCTGTTGATGAGTTGATGGGTGAGCAGATTGCAGCAATGTTTGAGTATATTCAGAAAATAGATCTACGGTACAATATTAAACATACGTTTTTTTAATTTTGTTTATCTTTATTTGGTCTATAATGTGGAAAATATCGTCTTTTTTATGACTGGAAGACTTTTCAATTTTGAAAATTTCTTCCATTATTTATGCGGCAGACAGCCGCAAGTCACTTTTACAAAGAAACCACAAACTTATTTAAGGTAGTTGAAATGAGTATGCAGTGTTGTGGAAAAATTCTTTAGGATTCATTTGAGACATATAAAACTTTTTAAAGATCTGTATAAATCCTGAGTTTGAGCGTAAAGTCGACGTTCAAAAACGTACTTTTCCAGAATTGTTTTTTTTTAATTATCAAATAACGGCGACAAAAAATGTAAACAAAATTCAACAATAAACTTATTAGTTGTTTAGAAACAGAAAATAGAAATTAATCTTATCAACTAAAACAAGTATCTTATTCAATTATTAGTTTCTATAATTCCTCAATTATTGACAAAGATTTTCCGGAATTATTTTTGAAAAAACGACATTTAAAGAGTTTGTAGAAATCTGCAAATAAATTCATAGAAAATAAGAAATTCAATATAATTATGAAAACGAAATAATTGATTCTAGCATTGATTTATGGACAAATTTCTTTTGAGAAATATGTTCCTAACCATATAATTAGTGTATAGTTTTTGCTTTATTTTTCGTCGTCGTTACCGATTCTGAAAACGTACCCACCCAAATTCATGATTTTGAACGTCGACTATGCACTTAAACTCAGTAATTATACATCGTGGAAAAGTTTTATATGTCTCAAATGAAACCTAAAGAATTTGTCCACAACACTGCATACTCAGCTCAACTACCTTACATAGCCGGTCTGTCCCTTTAAGTATCTTATTCATTCTTGATCAGACGAAGACAAACGATACTGTTGTGAATAGGACATGGAGAATCAATGAAATTACGCACAATGTCCCTTTGTTAAAGGAAACACTTAAATACTGTTTTCAATGATATATATCTGCAGGTGGTGTCAAATATCAGATGGGGCAATTGCTAGGTAAATTTACTAAAATAAAAACAGAAAATTTGTTGGTTACAAAACACAAATTACCCTTCTTTATATAAAATCTTTAAGTGATAGATTATGCAGTTACCAAACTGTTTATGTATTTGCCTTGTCCAACATGGTTCAATAATAGAGAAAAAGATAATAGACGGGTCGCGAAGCCCCCCAGCCGAGTGATGTATATAACAGCATGAATGTCTTAACCTTAGTTTTAATACTCTTACCATGTTGTGGTGCCCTAAACTTTCTTAAACTTTCCTAAACTTTCCTAAACTTTCCTAAACTTTCCTAAACTTTCCTAAACTTTCCTAAACTTTCCTAAACTTTCCTAAACTTTCCTAAACTGTCCTAAATTTTCCATGACTCGTTTTATATTTCTATTTAAAAAATATTCTGCTTTAAAAATACTATCCAATTAAGCTAGTCTCAATCTAACTAACCTTCTACTTCTTATGAACACAAAGTTTATTTGGACACTTTTTTTATCCATTTTCAGGTTCTACTCAAAAGTCCAACTGGAGAAAGAGAACCATTGTTTCTTGAGTTTAGAGAAACTTGATTTATCGGAGTGTATACTATCAAAGGTAACTGCTAACTAAAAACGTATTAAATATGGTCACTGAGTTTCAAAGACCAACAATAAAGATTAATTTCGTTTTTAAGATTTAAATTTTTGACCAAAGTAATTTAGTCTTTGCCACAAACTCAAATTTTGTTATCCCAGTATCTTTTTAACCTGATCCAGGGTGTAAACCCATGATATTCTAAACTTAAGTTATTTGATCTGACAGAATTCATAGTTTTAAATATCTACGACATCATGTTAAAAAAAAAAAAGGATTTGAAAATCAGAGTTTGTGGCAAAGAATAAATTTTGATTAAAAAGGCCCAAAAATGTTTTGCCAAAAAAAATTCGCATGACATTTAATGAAAGCAAAATTATTCCTTGCTGTGTCATCTTTATTCAATTTAGTTTTGAATAAAAACAAGTTAGGTTAGGGAAAGGTAAAAACAAATTGAAAAAAAAAATGTTGAACCAGAATCCCAACAAAATTGTTGAAATTAGTAAATGAAACAAGGCGACACAGAAAGACTGAAAAATATTTTGATTGATAACTTTTGAAGTATTTTAGAGAACCATAATATAATTATTTTTATATCTTTAAACACTTGTGTGTACAGTGGGGAAACAACAATGTGTAGAAGAAAGACGACATCTAAGCATTAATATGTATATTTAATGTTGTCATAAAGCAATATAGTTTGACAATGAAGCTGGAAAATCTACTGATTCAAAGTGAAATGAGTCCATAATCATTTGACTATTTGAAATCATAACTTGAGTTTTACAGTCGTCTTACTATTCCAAAGTTTTGTGGGTTCCTCTGTATGCTTATATATATATTGTTTAGGAGTCTGCTGCTAAATGTGCTGAAATAAACAGAATAAGATCGAGTGATACGGTCATATTCAAAATTCATGAGGTAATTTATTCTGAAATTTTAGTTTGCAACTTTACTGAAAATTATATACATATTATTTATTATTTTTAAATAGCTTTTAAACATCAAAATTATCTAAACTGTGTAGATTTAAACTCAGAAGATGTCATATTCTCTTATCCATTAGTTTTTCTGGTTTAAAAGTCAGTGGGCCTTCACTTTGGAACCTATTTTCCCCTCATTGATTGTACAATTTTTTGCATTTGTTATTGATAATATATGTGAACATTGTGATAAAACCTGTGAAATATGTTGTAAATAAAATCTGATTCTATCTGTGAAATGTGTGAGAAAATTTTGCTCTTATCTGTGAAAAGTGTGATAAAATTTTGGTCTTATCTGTGAAAAGTGTGATAAAATTTTGGTCTTATCTGTGAAATGTGTGAGATAATTTTGGTCTCATCTGTGAAAAGTGTGATAAAATTTTGGTCTTATCTGTGAAATGTGTGATAAAATTTTGGTCTTATCTGTGAAATGTGTGATAAAATTTTGGTCTTATCTGTGAAATGTGTGAGATAATTTTGCTCTTATCTGTGAAAAGTGTGATAAAATTTTGGTCTTATCTGTGAAAAGTGTGATAAAATTTTGGTCTTATCTGTGAAATGTGTGAGATAATTTTGCTCTTATCTGTGAAAAGTGTGATAAAATTTTGGTCTTATCTGTGAAATGTGTGAGATAATTTTGCTCTTATCTGTAAAATGTGTGATAAAATTTTGCTCTTATCTGTGAAATCGTAAAAAATCATTCCCCTGTCTGTGAAATTATGAGAGAATATTTTTCCTAATTATGAAATAATGAAAAAAATTTTATTTGTAAAATTATGAAAAAATCTGAATATTTTTTCTTGTAGGAGGAGGAAGAACATTCCAGATGTTTATGCAGCTGTTATTCTAGAAACCAAAATTAATTAGTTCTTGAATTAATTAATTAAATGATTATTAATTATTATTTTAAATTAATTTTGCATGAAAGTATAATTTCTCAATGCTTGTAATTTGTGTAATAGAAGAATTCCTTTGTATGGAGCCTGCATGCTTGTTGTAAAACTTCAGTCGTCACTCTCTTACCTATAATAAGAAAATATCGCGCTAACTTCTGTAGTAAAATACAGGATTGAATAGATGACTTCAACTAATTATCATTAGTTTCATAATGTCACGAAGGTAATTGACTAAATCTGTAAAATAATCAATGTAAACGTAACAAACCAACTAAAATCACTAAATGTTCACGAATAGATATAAATATCACCTTTTTGCCTTTTTAAGTAAGGTAAAACCAGATTAAGGAATACAATTTAATCATTTTTTATTGGCTTTAATACACATGCTTTTCTATTTTATTTTTATCAAACTCTTTTAATGTGATACAACCTAGGGTTGTAAGTCTGGAGATCGAGTGCATACTTTATATCTTCTATAAAGATAAATTTGTTTTCTACGTTTGATTTGTATATGTACTACTTTCTTTATTTTTTGCACACTTTTACTAAAAAATGATTCACAAACTATATTTTTATTGTTATCATTAATATTGTTACCGATATAGCTTTAAACTCCATCTAATACCTTACATATGTACTATGTAAAGCTTCTTAATACCTTGTACCACATCAGTTTCAAATGTCTATTATAAAAACAGGGGAAGAAACTTTTGAATTGTTAATACCTTCAGAAAACTCTAATTCTTTTAGTTGGCCGGCAGAAAACTCTAACTATTTTAGTTGGACGGCAGAAAACTTTAATTCTTTTAGTTAGTCGGCAGAAAACTCTAATTATTTTAGTTGGCTGGCAGAAAACTCTAATTATTTTAGTTGGTCGGCAGAAAACTCTAATTCTTTTAGTTAGCCGGCAGGAAACTTTAATTCTTTTAGTTAGCCGGCAGAAAACTCTAATTATTTTAGTTGGCCGGCAGAAAACTCTAATTATTTTAGTTAGTCGGCAGAAAACTCTAATTATTTTAGTTGGCCGGCAGAAAACTTTAATTATTTTAGTTGACCGGCAGAAAACTCTAATTATTTTATTTGGCCGGCAGAAAACGATAATTCAATTTGGTTATCTCTAGAAATGCTAGAAACATCGACCAACAATGAGAAACCGTAAAACTAGATAAATTAACTGTTTTCACGGGTTTAAGCATTTCTAATTAAGTTTACTCTGAATATTCAATTTAAAGGTTTTAAATGACCTCTCATTCAACAGTCCCAACCTCAGATTCAGTCTTATGTCAAGCATCGTCGGGACAAACAAATTCATGCATTGGGTTTTTTATGAGAGGGAAACTAATAAATAAGAAAGACGTGGTTGAACTATAGGAAGGATTGGTTCAATCAATCATTGGGTTAGAAGTAGTGGTGGCTCTTTTTTTATCAATCCATTTTGAGCTTGAACCTGCAGTTAGCTTTTGAACTCCATTCATGAAATCTAGAAACTAGTATTTTATGAAGAAAAATAATTTTAATCATTTAAGTATATAAACTGAGGTGGTAAAGGGGTATAATAGGATCTCTATATATAATAAATTGATATTGATAATCTATACTCAATCTATTTGATGCCCTTTAAGTTTTTCTTCTTATTCATCTTTATGCTACTATGGTTCAATGGTTACAACAACAACGACCAACATCAACACTTGCACAAGGAGGATGGTCTTTGTCTCCTTTTAAGGAGACAAAGAAACAAGGAAAGGGGTTTAGGGTCTTTCACATTTTATTATGACGTTATTTGCACAGCTTTGAAGAACATAAAATTTATTCCTGAGCTGTTCTGGTACGTTTCAATGTTTGGTTTGGGAATAGATGAAGATAGTTCAATATTATGGTATTATTTGAAAATTGTATCATGTATTATAATATATGTTGTTAGTTTATATATTTTATAATATAGATAATCTATGTATATTTAATAAATATATATCTGGAAAAAAAAGAATTTTTATTGGGGTTTATCTGCTTAATTAACCAATTAACAATAAAGAGACAATTTTCCTGAAAAAATCGTTTCCAAGGTTTCTAATACTGGGTTTCTAAGGTTTCTAATACTGGGTTTCCAAGGTTTCTAATACTGGGGTTTCAAAGTTTCTAATACTGGGCTTCCAAGGTTTATAATACTGGGTTTCCAGTGTTTCTAATACTGGGTTTCCAAGGTTTCTAATACTGGGTTTCCAAGGTTTCTAATTCTGGGTTTCCCGTGTTTCTAATTTTGGGTTTCCCGTGTTTCTAATTCTGGGTTTCCTGTGTTTCTAATACTGGGTTTCCAGTGTTTCTAATACTGGGTTTCCAAGGTTTCTAATACTGGGTTTCCAAGGTTTCTTGTACTGGGTTTCCAAGGTTTCTAATACTGGGTTTCCAGTGTTTCTAATACTGAGTTTCCAAGGTTTCTAATACTGGGTTTCCAAGGATTCTAGTACTGGGTTTCCAAGGTTTCTAATACTGGGTTTCCAAGGTTTCTAATACTGGGCTTCCAGTGTTTCTAATACTGGGTTTCCAAGGTTTCTAATGCAGGGTTTCCAAGGTTTCAAATACTGGGTTTCCAAGGTTTATAATACTGGGTTTCCAAGGTTTCTAATACTGGGTTTCCAAGGTTTCTAGTACTGGGTTTCCAAGGTTTCTAGTACTGGGTTTCCAAGGTTCCTAATACTGGGTTTCCAAGGTTTCAAATACTGATTTCACATCTTTTTCGTACTCTGTCGTTAATGGTCATAGATCTGCATAGTAAACTGTACACTGTACAGGGATTTCCCGTCAACAACATAATCATTAAAAAAAAATAATGATCGCAGTTTAACATGATTCTTTGAGAATTTAACAATCATAAATTAACCAACGGACTTTATTTAACCCATTCTCCTCGTTAACGACCCAAAACGTGCTGAAAATATTAAAATTGTGAATATTTTTACAGAAACCAGAAACCCGAAACGATAAACCATTGTTAACAACCTATACGTTAACGAACGGAATAATTCATAAAATAGGGGCAAATCCACATGGTGAATCCATTCTTACTATTCTTATGTCAATAACATTTCCGTCGACGGCACTTTTGACCTTTTTGACCTCCAAGTGGTCATTTTGGAGGTCATATTATGTCAATGGAGCACTCATACCGTAGTGGCGAATCGTTTCTTACAATTTTTTGTCTATGCATGCCAAAGAAAATCCGCCGAATTTAGAGTAAAAAATTCCCAATTTATTTTTATTAATCTGAAATGGTGCCCCGACCACAGTTCTCTCCAAGTGAGAGATCGTTTATCTATAAACTTTACACCGTACATTCAACTGGGAGAAGGAATACTAGATTTCTTAATATTCGAAGAGATTTTACGGTCCAATTCCCTCAATCTACAGTTCCATCTAAGCAAGCTGTCCGAGACATTGTTAAAAAGTTTGATACCACATCTACTATTCTCAATCTAAACTCTAAGAAAAGCCCAGGGAACACCTATAGTGGGCGACCAAAATTGGGAATTTTTTACTCTAAATTCGGCGGATTTTCTTTAGCATGCATAGACAAAAAATAGTAAGAAACGATTCACATCATGAAATAACTGAAATATAGAGCGTTCGAATGACACCTTGATCGTAAAAATTGAACAAAAATTGTTTCCTCAGTTACTAATACCCCTACTGCACAGTTTTTTTTGAGACACCCTGTATATGTTAAAAATCTAACTATAAATACTAGATATAAAAACTAAATAAATACTAGATATAAAAACTATATAAATACTAGATATAAAAAAGTTTATTAAATGTTTGGAAAATTTATTGATAAATCCCCACTACATGATAAACAATGGTTTAGATAACATAAAAGGACAATTAAACAAAACGGTTTTTATCTTATAATATTTTGATTATATATGAAACTTAATAGAAGCTTTCCAAAAACCATGAGTAGCTTCCAATTCACATATTTAAAGAGAGCTTTAAGTTATATATTCTGGAAATGCGCCATTTATATAAAGTAATTTTTCCTTTTTATATATTCTAGAAGTACTCCTCTTTATATATTCTAGAAGTACTCCTCTTTATATATTCTAGAAGAACTCCTTTTTATATATTCTAGAAGAACTGCTCTTTATATATTCTAGAACAACTCCTTTTTATATATTCTAGAACAACTCCTTTTTATATATTCTAGAAGAACTCCTTTTTATATATTCTAGAAGAACTCCTTTCTATATATTCTAGAATAACTCCTTTCTATATATTCTAGAATAACACGTTTTTATATATTCTAGAAGAACTCCTTTTTACATATTCTAAAAAAACTCCTTTTTATATATTCTAGAGGAACTCCTTTTTATATATTCTAAAAGAACTCCTTTTTATATATTCAAGAAGAACTCCTTTTTATATATTCTAGAAGAACTCCTTTTTATATATTCTAAAAGAACTCCTTTTTATATATTCTAGAAGAGCTTCTCTCTATGTATTCTAGAAGAACTTCTATCTGCATATTCTAGAAGACCTTCTTTTTATATATTATAAATGAACTTCTTTCTATATATTTTTATATATTAAAGAAAAGTTGCTATCTATATATTCTAGAAGTGCTTCCATATATATTTTAAATCATTTTAAAGAAGAACAGAGAACGTCTTTGTATACATATATACTTGGAAGAGCTTCTAGTTAAATAATCTAGAAGAACTTACATAATATACAAACGTATATCTATATATTGAAGAAGAGCTTCTATTTATATATGTAAAGTAAATTTCAAACTAAAATGTTCTTGGAAAGCTAAACATATTGATTTCAAACAATTAAAAAGTAGACAAATGAATTTAACAAAATTTGGGAGAAATGAATAAAACTTAAGAATGAAATATTTGTTGCAAAAAACATCTTGGTTAAATTTTATTTTGATCAAACTAAGAATTTTTGGATATTGTCAATACTTTTTTCAAGTTGTTTCTTGATTACTCACTCACCGCTGATTAACGAGTACACATACATCAGCTGATTTATGATTGCCCATTATCAGCTGATCTGATTAACGAGTACACATACATCAGCTTGTTTATGATTTACCATGAACATCTGTTTTATGATTACCCATTAACATCTGTTTTATGATTACCCATTAACAGCTGTTTTATGATTATACATTAAGAGCTGTTTTGTGATTATCCATTAACAGCTGTTTTATGATTATCCATTAACAGCTGTTTTATGATTACCCATTAACATCTGTTTAATGATTACCCATTAACAGCTGTTTTATGATTATCCATTAACAGTTGTTGTATGATTACCCATTAACAGCTGTTTTATGATTATCCATTAACAGCTGTTTTATTATTACCCATTAACAGCTATTTATGATTACCATTAAATAGCTGTTTCATGAATTCTCATAATAACAGCTGGTTCATAATCACCCATAAACAGCTGTTTTATAATTACTCATTAACAGCTGTTTTATGATAATTCATTTATCAGCTGATTCAATTCTGCTGCAATAAATGAATACCTCTTAACAGCTGATTTATGATTGATCACTCAAACACAAGCTGATTAATGATCCCCATTAAAAGTGTTTTGTGAATAAAAAAGGTGAAAACACCAAAATCGTAAATGTTTAAAGTAGGGTTTATGCTTACCAGCACATTTTTATTTTAGTAAAATAGTTTTAAGTTTTAATTAAAGTAAAATGGGTGACATATGTTTTGAAATCTTAACACAAATAAAATTTTAATGATCAAAAACATAACATTTCAAAATAAAATTATGAAAAATAGTGCATAAAACCTTCTGAAATGTCACCGTAATAGAAATATTTAAAATCAGATTAAAAACTATGCATAAAGAAAACAGATTCGGCTCAAAACCTGTTAAGAATAGATTAAAGATTGGGAGAGAAGTGAGTTCAAACTTTAGCCCAGGGAGGAATAAAACCTGGTCGGGCCCTAGACTAACTAAGGAAATCGGCCCTTGGACCAGATGGACCAGATAGGGAGGTGGGCCCTCGATCAGATAGGGAGGTGGGGCCCTCGATCAGATAGGGAGGTGGGGCCCTCGATCAGATTGGGAGGTGGGGCCCTGGACCAGTTAGGAATATTGGACCCTGTTGGAGTTGAGCCCTAGACCAATTAATGAGGGCATACCCTGGACCAGATAGGGACAGAAGGCCTTGGACCAGATAGGGACAGAAGGCCTTGGACCAGATAGGGATTGTGGGCCTTGAACTAGATAGGGAGGGTGGTCCCTGGACCAGATAGGGAGGGTGGTCCCTGGACCAGATAGGGATGTTATTTTGTTAACGTCCCTCTTCTCTCACTACTTCCTCTTCATCCTAAAAAAAGAATTTTTTTTGGATTCTTACAAGGGCCCATATTAGTATTAGAACCTGCCCTGATGGGAGGGAAGTACCGATATTAGAACCTACCCTGATGGGAGGGAAGTAATGATATTAGAACCTACCCTGATGGGAGGGAAGTAATAATATTAGAACCTACCCTGATGGGAGAGAAGTAATGATATTAGAACCTACCCTGATGGGAGGGAAGTAATAATATTAGAACCTACCCTGATGGGAGAGAAGTAATGATATTAGAACCTACCCTGATGGGAGGGAAGTAATGATATTAGAACCTACCCTAATGGGAGACAAGTAATGATATTAGAACCTACCCTGATGGGAGGGAAGTAATGATATTAGAACCTACCCTGATGGGTGGGAAGTAATGATGTTGCTGAAGCCGTTGTAGGAACATATTGAGCATAGGAATATCCCTCAGTACCCGGTCAACCTAGATATTTAAATTTTAGTTTTATAAAAAAAACAATTTGAAAGTTAACAAGATTCCGTTAACGAAAGGCAAAATCTGCTATTTTTAAAATCGTTAACGATTATATCCGTCCGTTAACGTTTCAAAATTAACAGATTTTGCCTTTCGTGTTAGAAAATTTAAATAATAATCGTTAAAGATTTTTGAAATATCTTCCGTTTATGTCGTTAATAAGATTGAGATCGTTAACTAACGGTATAACTTTAAAAAATAAATGAAAATACCGAATTTACCGAATGAAACGTTCAGTTCTAAAATAAGAACGAACGAATATCTGAAAAATTGGTCTTTTAAACGATTTAGGACCGTTAGCGAACGGTTTAAAAAAAATTTAACGAGCTCAGCCTTAACTCTAGTGTACGTACAAAATAAAGAATGTTCTGTATTGACAGTAGATACTTTAAATCCCAACCTTAGGTAGATAATGCTGAGAGACATCTAATTGAGCAGAGTGCTGACAACCAGGAGGAGGATATAGGAATCCTCCACACACACCTCCTCCTCCTCCAACACCTCCTCCGACACCTCTAGACACAACGGCTTGCTTTCCCCTAGACTGCTCAAACTGTCGCATCTGATGCCGGCTAGAACTCTGATGCTAAAATAAACAAAAATATACAAAGATATTTACATCCAAAGGGAGAGTCTTAAAAAAGGACTTAAAATTTTATACACGGATCTCCGTAAAATTGTTTGATATAAAGACGACACTAAAGAAATCTGTCAGTGTATATATGATATTGTTAAAATAAAATAGTTTTGCGCAGTACGAGTAGCTTATAAATTAACGTATTAAGTAAAAAAGGTAAATATACATTGTACACTGCTCAAATGGTGTCTCATGTTAATTCGGTCTTGTATTCCATAATAATTGAACAAAAAATTTAATTTCCAGAACAAGAATTTCAACATTTAAAGAAATTTAAAATAAAAACAGTTCTGGACAATAAATGAAATAAATAAATGATTACAATACAAGACAATAAACGATCGTTAAATTTTAATCAAAGGAAATTATAAGAACATATGAAGTGTTTTTAATTAAATGAATAGGAAGCTTGATTTAATGAAAAGGATGCCAGAATGAATATATTATGTGACTAGAAACATGAATGAATATGTGTTTTATTACCTGGGACATCTGGGATTTACTGTTTAGACTAATCTGACATACAGTACACCAGAAGCCTTGGAGTTCTCCTGTAATATAGATAGATAAATATATAGACAGATAGATAGATAGATACATAATATATATAGCTAAATAATCCCAACCTGGATCTATATAATCCCAACCTGGATCTAAATAATCCCAACCTGGATCTAAATAATCCCAACCTAGATCTAAATAATCCCAACCTGGAGCTAATTAATCACAACCTGGAACTAAATAATCCCAACCTGGATCTAAATAATCCCAACCTGGATCTAAATAATCCCAACCTAGATCTAAATAATCCCAACCTGGAGCTAAATAATCCCAACCTGGATCTAAATAATCCCAACCTGGAACTAAATAATCCCAACCTGTAGATTTAGTTTGTCTATTCTCCCCTTCCTTCTTATTTAATGAGAAGCAGGACTGATATTTTCTCCTGGATTGGGTTAGATTTGAGGTAGAGGATATACGCTCCCCTTCATTCCATCCATGGTCACGTCCAGTCCACATCCTGCCTCCTTGATCCCAGCTACTACCTCCAGGATTCGAACTGGAGACACGTCTGGAGGACCCATTCAGCCTCCTGGAGGTTTCTTCTTGAGAGCCATGAGCTAAACCGTCTAAACAAATTGAATTTAACATTTTGATTTTCGCTACAGTGACAAAAGTACTTCACAGAAAGTTAATTAACTTTTGATTCCGAATTATTAAAATATAAAAATATTAAAATATTAAAATATTAAAATATTAAAATATTAAAATATTAAAATATTAAAATATTAAAATATTAAAAGGGGGATAACGCACAATTAAAATGCAATGCAATGCATACTTTAGGCACCGTGGCAATAATTTTATTGTTATTTTACAGAAACATAGAATAGAAACAAAAACAGCAGCAATATAAAAAAACCTTGTACGTTCTCTTGTTATATTAGTGACCTACTATTTTTAAGATTCCAAATAATTTAAAACTCTGAGATAATTTTTAGAATTGCTCCCCTTTTCTTGATATTTTCATTTAAAGTATAATTGGTGAATATTTATGAAACTTTAATTTGGCTGGGGTAAAAATAGTCGTTTTGGTTCAGGGTTAATAAAATAAAATTTACCATTTTGTTTTACAAGCCCTGGACTGCAGTCTCCTGCACTCTCCTAAAAACATAATATATAGATAAAAAAAATGTTTTTAAAAAAGTAAAATGAAGAATAAATAATGAAGACAGAAGATAATAAAGATATACATATATAAATATAAATTTGGCTTGTCTGTTTGTTTGTTTGTTTGTATCCAATAAACGTCAAAACGACTGAACTGATCGGGCCCAAATTTTTTGTGGGACATCACGTGACCACAGGGAAGGTTTATGAATGATAAAAATTTAAAAAAATGTGTTTTAAAGGTTCAAAATTTTAGTAGAAGATGGGCGCGAAGCGCCCTAAAAGCCTAGAAAGAAGGGCGCGAAATGCCTTGAATTTCTAGTATATATAAATATAATATGAAAGAAAAAAAGACTGGGAATTAATTAATGAAACTTACCTTGGCTTCATCTGACATAATATCGGATTCATCCTGATCTTGATCCTCCTCCGCCTCATCCTCCCCCTCATCCTCATCTTCATTCTGCCTCTCATCTTTATACACCTGTTTCGTCTCTACCCTGTCTTTCTGGTTTTCTTCATTTTCCTTCTGGTTGAGCAAACAGACTCCTTCTTCAATATCCTTTTCCTCTTCAACCTCCTTCTTGTCCTTCTCGTCCTTCTCGTCCTTCTCCTCGTGTTCCGTCCCATCCTTACCATCTACAAGTCCACCTGGAGAATGTTATTGTCATGTTTTTAACTGGAGAAAAAAAGATAATTTAATGATTTTAATCTAAATTGTATTTGTGCATAAAAAAAGTAAATTTTTATGCAAACGAAGTGATATATTATCTGATTTACTAAATCTGGGATAAATATCCTAACAAAGCATGATATTATAATATCTTATTTTTCGTTAAACTTATAAAACTTATTTTTTAAACCCATAATTAGGTGACCTTTCACTTTAAAACGTACATGCTCGATTCACAACGGTACTCTTTACTTGAAATTGAGTAAACCTATTTTCTGCAGAATTGTTTTTGATATTTTAAATAAACAAATTATACCTGAGGACTCATCTTCGGTTTCTGTATAATTCTCTGTAGATGCTCGAGACTAAACGAAAATAAAATAAACATTGTAAAAATTCATTTCATCATAATGTTTAATAAAAGCAGGGTTTGTTTACTTTTTAAAGTAATAATATAAGTCAGAGCTTAAAATAGTTTTGTAATTTGGTAAACAATAGAAAGTGAAATAATTGTTGTATTAAATTCTTCTTTTCATTCTGTACTTTGAGAACATTTCCTGCAAAAAACCTTAGCTACAATTCTTAGCAAAAAAAAAAAGAACAATCTTCTGTAAAAAAAACTTTGCACACTTTTACGAAATTCTTCCATTTTACTGCCAGTAGCAAATGTTCTAAATATTTACTTGATTTTTTCGTAGAACTACTCTTGACTTGAAATTACTAGAAGTAGACTTCCGGAGGCTTCCAGACATTTTATTATCATTTGACAGCTTTCCAGCACTTGACATCCTTGCTGTAGCTGACACCTTTACTCCTGACCACTTAGTTGCTGACACTTTTAGTCCTGACGACTTAGATGTCGACACCTTTACTCCGGACGACTTAGATTGTGAGAGTTTAGTTGAAGTTCTTCTAGATTTAGTTGTCTGTAGTCCTGTAAACCTCTGTCTAGGTGTAGAACTGTGTCTACTAGAACTATAAAGGTTCGGTCGGGAACCAAATTTTGGCCTAAAATTGTAATGTTCAGATCAAATAATATTGCATCTAAAAAGTACACTAGTAATGATGATGAAAAAGAATCCTAAAAATTATCATGAAAATGTTTGTTCATCATAAAGACATCTTCAAAGCTCCTGAAGGTTTTAAAATAAACAAAAATGATTTAAAATTTGAACATTCCTGCCGACTAGAATGGAAGAAGTGCGAACAGGTGCACTTGCTTCACTTGGAGTAGAGGACGGGGCTGTAGAGGACCCAGGGGTTAATAGTCTAGACAAAAAAATATTTTTATAGATCGTGTAAAACTACTTGCCAACAGAATAAAAAGCATTTTTAGAGTACAGTGGTAACCAGAAAACTCTGAAATAGGAAGACGACTTTTGGCTGAAGTCTAGTAAAACTATTTGCTTTGTAACAATCTCAAATACACTTTTGTATTTCTAAAAAAGTCGTCTTCCAATTTAGGAGTTTTCTGGTTGTGACTGTAATATCCAATTGAATACAATGAGACATATAAAACTGTGGAATATAAAGACGACAGCTAGACTCATTTATGAAGTGTACACAGACCCTTTTCACTTGATTAAGTTGTCTTTTTACTACTAGTAAAACTTCTTGCTTCATAATAATAAAAAATACACATACGATAAATAAAAGGTCGTTTTCCTATCTCACAGTTGTATGGGTCTCACTGTATTAGCCTCAAATAAGTTATGTAAATATTAAATATCATGATAACAAAAATATTGTGTCCACTCAAATTCTCAGTGTTACCCGTGAGAAAGTAAAATTGTCGCAAACAAATCAAAGGAAGGCGTCCTCAAGTGTGTAAATGGTATAAAAAGTGTGTTACGATTAAATATAAGTTGAAGAAGGTAACCTGGTGGAAGGTGATATTACTGCTTGAGAGGGCTTTACTCCTTGACGAGAACACCGGGCCTTGTGTTTATGCCCAGACATATGCGCCTAAACAAACAATATATCTTTGATATAATTGAAACTTATACTTCATACAAGGATAATTGGATACACTTGGATACCTGGACATCTGGATACTTAGATACACTTGGATACCTGGAAACCTGGATACCTGGATACCTGGATACCTGGATACCTGGATACCTGGATACCTGGATACATGTATGCATGTATGCATGTATACATGGATAGATTGATATCTGGATACCTGGATACCTGGACATCTGGATACTTAGATACACTTGGATACCTGGATACACCAGGATACCTGGACACCTGGACACCTGGACACCTGGACACCTGGATACCTGGATACATGGATACCTGGATACATGGATACATGTATAAATGTATTTATGGATAGAATGATACCTGGATACCTGGATACCTGGATATACCTGGATACCTGGATAAATGTATACCTGGATACCTGGATACCTGGATACCTGGATACCTGGATACCTGGATACCTGGATACCTGGATACATGTATATATGTATAAATGGATAGATTGATACCTGGATACCTGGATACCTGGATACCTGGATACATGTATATATGTATAAATGGATAGATTGATACCTGGATACCTGGATACCTGGATACCTGGATACCTGGATACCTGGATACCTGGATGCCTGGATACCTGGATACCTGGATACCTGGATACCTGGATACCTGGATACCTGGATACCTGGATACATGTATACATGTATACATGGATAGATGGATACATGGATACATGGATACATGGATACATGGATACATGGATACATGGATACATGGATACATGGATACATGGATACATGGATAAATAGATTCAGAATATCTGAATACCTGAATACCTGAATACCTGGATACTTGGATACATGGATACATAGAAAATAGTAAATACTAAACCTGGAGTTTATGGGAAAATAAGTTAATACTAAACCTGGAGTTTATGGGAAAATAAGTTAATACTAAACCTGGAGTTGATGGGAAAAAAGTAAATACTAAACCTGGAGTTGATGGGAAAATAGTAAATACTAAACCTGGAGTTGATGGGATGAATTAACAGAAACCTCACAAACCTCACACCGAATATCTCCTGAAATTTAGTAAACACAATTAAACACAATTAAAAATTTGAAAAACCAAAACAATAAAAAAAGTTTGCAAATACTGTAAACTGAACACGTCTCAATGTTATTAATTTCAAATTCTAGATATCAAGGCCACAGATATTTTAATGGAAATACCTTTTAACAATCCATTCCCCCATTAATAACCCCCAACTTTCCATCCCCATCATATTACCCCCTCCCCTTCCAACCCTCCACACCTTGATTTTAAAATATAATATTTGATATCAAAGTACGATTATTGATTGATTGATCATGAAATTAGTGTCATGTTCACACACACACCCATGTAATAGGCCTCATAAACACATAAATTCAACCACCCTCCCCCCACCACCCTTCTTCCCGTCAACACTCCCCCCCCTCCCGCCCCTCCCATTCAGACCTCTTCCTAACCCCATATATGTTACACTTATCCACCCTGTATCTTGAAACATTTACCTTTTCTAACCCACAGTTCTACAAGGGGTAAAGTGGGTGAGTAAAAGACTCAAAATAAAGGATTATCCGCGAAAGATAAGACTGTAAAGACAACCTATGACTAAGAAAACATGACGATTCCGAGACTAAATGAAGTCTTCTGCTTTTAAAAGAGTTGAGGACCTAGATTAAGAGTTGAAAAGAAAGAAATAAGTTAACAGTTGCACAGAATTAAGGAACCAGACAGTTTAAATTCCTTACAAACGTCTCTGAAGTCTCATTCTTTGTGGATAATCCTGTATCTAAACCCTGCATCTAAACCCTGAATCTAACCCTGTATCTAAACCCTGTATGTATACCCTGTATCTAAACCCTTATGTAAACCCTGTATCTGAGCCCTGTATATATCCCCTGTATCTAACCCTGTATCTAAACCCTGTATCCAAACCCTAAATATAAACCCTGTATCTATACCCTGTATCCAAACCCTATATATACACCCTTTATCCAAACCCTGTATCTATACCCTGTATCCAAACCCTATATATAAACCCTGTATCTATACCCTGTATCCAAACCCTATATATAAACCCTGTATCCAAACCCTAAAAAACCCTGTATCTATACCCTGTATCCAAACCCTATATATAAACCCTGTATCTAACCCCCGTATCAAAACCCTATATATTAACCCTGTAAATAAACCCTGTATCTAAATCCTGTATCCAAACCCTATATATAAACTCTGTATCTAAACCCTGTAAATTAACCCTGTATTTAAACCCTGTATGTAAACCCTGTATCTAAACCCGGTATGTAAACCCTGTATGTAAACCCTGTATGTAAAACCCTGTATCTAAACCCTGTATGTAAACCCTGTATCTAAACCCTGATCTAAACCCTGTATGTAAACCCTGTATGTAAACCCTGTATCTAAACCCTGTATATACGCCCTGTATCTAACCCCTGTATCTAACCCTGTATGTAAACCATGTATGTAAACCCTGTATGTAAACCCTGTATGTAAATCCTGTATGTAAACCCTGTATGTAAACCCTGTATGTAAATCCTGTATGTAAACCCTGTATGTAAACCCTGTATGTAAACCCTGTATGTAAACCCTGTATGTAAACCCTGTATCTAAACCCTGTATGTAAACCCTGTATCTAAACCCTGTATCTAAACCCTGTATCTAAACCCTGTAAGATATCTACCTGTTGGTTCCTGAGCTCTAAACTCAACTCCATTCTCCTGTAGTTCTCTGAATACACGGAGAGCTCTCACCTTTAATATAATTAAGGTTTAGGAGGTAAATAATATCAAAACAAATATAAAATACACCATTAATACATGTTTATATATCTGCGTGTGTGTAAATAAATATAAGTACCCTGAATGTTTCTTTGCAGAAAAGCACTGTAAACTAGATAGAAGGAGAAGATTAAGCTTATTATGAGAAAAACACATTCATCTGTTTACGTATTAGAAAATCATTTTCTTCTTAATAGTTCTTCAATAAGAGGATCGTTATGGTTATAAATGTATAAGATTTCAATCATAGGTGTAATTTACTTTAGTTTAACGTGAGATGATATTTTCAGATTTATTGAATGCTGTTATTATCAAGGTTATAATGCAAGGAAAGTTAGTTGCAGTAGCGTATACTCTGCGTACATATTGAAACCAGTTCTCTCTGGGCGGAATTTGTAAAGAAGAATAGATGCATCAATGTTCGTTTAGTATCCGAGGAGGATAAAAGCATTGAATTTTGAAAGTTTTAGTAATTCACATAATAGTTTCCTACAACCAGAATATTTCATAGATTTTTTATGTGAAAGATGGATCCCATGTCAGGCTGTGACATCCGTCTTGTGTTTACATTGCCGCCCAGAGACTGTACAATGAAGTACAAAAGATGCGTACTCCTCTGAAATAACTTTCCTTGCATTATAACCTTGGTTATTTTCTTGTTTTTATTTAACTATGCATGTAGGTTTAGGTAAGTAAGTAATTAGATAGGTTAGGTAGGAAAGGCGTAAGCCGGTAGATAAGTAGATAGGTAACTAGGTAGGGAGGTAAGTAGGTATGCAGATAGGTAGGTTAGATGGATATTTAATATGCCTTTACCTTTTTAATATGCCTGCTTCCAATGATATGATGATGTAGAACTGCTGAGGAAGGAAAAGAAACATTGCAAACCTTGCAACTGACTCTCTGGGACTCTTCCACTGATACCCTGGAAAATATCATCGTTCAGCAATATTTACACTTTAAAAAAAATACAAAAAAAGAAAATCCGATTGAAAAGTTTAAACCAAAATATGAGTACAAGTCTGCATTAATTTTGTAATCAAGGAGAAATTTGGCTCCAACCTTAACCATTGTTTCCTATTCTTGAAATCTGGGTTTGTGTATAGTTAAGGACATGTTTCTGTTATCTGTTTAGTTTTGTTATTTAATTCAATTCAAGGTACAGGGTCATCAGGGGTCACTGTAGGTCGGTAGGAGTCGCTAGGGTGGTGGATCCTCTACCTCACCTCTCATTCAAAAGGTTAATTTTTTAGACACTCGTCTCTAGCGTGAACTCAAAGAAACAGAGATAGATAGATAATTATATAGATAGATAGATAGTTGAAGGAAATACTATAATGCAACTCACTGTATGGTATAGTCATGGATCCTTTTCAAACTACTGGAAATAATTTATTAGAAGGATGATTTTAGATTTAGTTACGAACACGAGTACTCATCACCACACAGAAACGTATTAAACAGACAGACACATCAAACAAAAATTATAAATGAGTGTAAGAATGTACAAAAACTAAGTACAAATTATGAATACATAAAAAATTAATGAAATGTTTGATATTTGGTAATGTTGATCCGAACCACTGTAAAGTTAATGCAGATGTAATTATGAAAATATGAAAGACTGAAAGATTGAAAGAATGGATGAATATTAAATGAATAGAAAGAATGAATTAATAGATGAAAGGATGAATGAATGAATACCTAGGTAGGTTTGTATGTCTAGTTGCTGTGTGCTGGCTACTAGTTCCTCTAATGGGAGAATGCTGTTCTGTTTGACTTTCACTGGATTCCGCTGACTAGAGAATACAAAAATATATAGATTATAATCATAATAGATATATACTTATATATATACGTAGATTATAAACATAATAGATATATATTTATATATATATTTGTAGACTCCTTGTACTTGTACACTTTAAAGCATGGAAAATATATAGATTATAAACATAATAGATATATATTTATCTATATATTTGTAGACTCCTTGTACTTGTACACTTTAAAGCATACCCCCCACATCCTGGTTTAATTGAGCTTCAAAAATAATTAATTGGACCACGCAACCCCGCCATTAAGCTACACGCTACTGCATAAGTCTTTTCAACCCAAAATTAGAGCAAAAAAACCATCACTCAAAATTATAACATTTTCATTTTCTAAGATTACTTAATTCAGGAAAGTTTATATTACTCAAATATTCAAAATAAATAAAATATTTGTAAATTGTTTGTATGAAGAAAAAAAAACCTATTAATGTACCATGTGATATGTCAATACATTGCTCATATGTTAATTAAAATGAAGAGAAAAAAGTACAAAATCTCAACCCGGGCAATTAGTTTGATGTTCTGGGATTATTTTGAGTAATGTGGACTTGGTAATTAGTGTAAAAGTGTGCTTAACTGCTATTTTAGCCTAAATATAATCTTTAAAATGAGAAATTGTTCTGAAAAAGTAGGTGAACCGCACATTACAGAGATTTTATTGTCTTTTTGTGAAATCTGTTAATAATAATTATTTCCAAACAAAATACAAAAACATTATGAAAAGTGTTTATGTTTCTGTACAAATTTTATATTTTTTATTTGAACTCTTTCGAGGGAACAATTGCATAAGAAAGGTTAAAGCAGAGAACTTATTTTTGGGGAGACCTTAACGAAAACAAAACGATATCGTAAGAATATACAATATGAGGTTTAAAAAATGAAAGTATGCAATACATTCCTTTATACCCAGTCAATAAGAGAGGGAAGTAGGGGCTACTGCTACCTGGAGTAGATGGTGGGGGGTACTGCGATAAACCTGGTGTAGGGGGTAGGGGCTACTGATACCTGGAGTAGATGGTGTGGGGTACTGCTATATTACCTGGTGTAGGGGGTAGGGGCTACTGCTACCTGGAGTAGATGGTGGGGGGTACTGATATATTACCTGGTGTAGGGGGGGTACCTCTATATTACCTGGTGAAGGGGGTGGGGGGTACTGCTATAACTTGCCAGTGAACAAGTCTCCGTACTTTTGCAATCACCACTTCCAGAAAATCCTGGAAAATTAAAACAGATTAAGACAGATTAACAACTGAACACCAAATCTCAAATTTATTTTTCATCTGATAGAGATACATTACTTCATGTTTTATTTTCTATCCTAATTTGACTGATTTGAACTCGATTAACTTGTTCAATCAAAGAAAAGAATTTCCTCCAAACAACAATGTCGTTGAAAACTTTTCATGAAATTTTAACCATTAACATGATAAAACGAGGGATTTTTACAATTTTTCAGAAGGGGTTTATCCCCCCCCCCCACCCCCCTTAAAGTCGCCTCTGAATAATTAAGAAAGGTTATGAAAAATCCGGAACTAGTATATCAACCTGTGTGGTACTTTTAAAGATTATGATATAAAAAAACTCGTAAATTTACGACATTTCTTTTATGTTTAATTTGTGCCTGAGGCAATCAATTTTAACAAAAGTTTAAGAGTGCTAAACATTTATCTTTCTTTACGGACAAACGCACTCTTCTAAGAACAAATTTAATGAACAACAAACTTGAGCTAAGTAGACTAATTTGAACCACTTCTCTTGAGTGGTCGGTTCAAGTTCCAGAGAAGTGGTTAAACTTAGTCTACGTGGTTTAACTACTTCTAACTATTTAATAAATTTAGTCCAAGATAATTGTGATTGGTAAATGAGAAGAAAAGCTATAATATTCAGTAAGGAGGAATAGAATTTCCCCTACAGTCATCTTTTAAGATAAAAAAGTTTTTGTTTTAAGGGAGGGACCGGCTAGGCATGGTAGTTGAGCTGAAAGTGCAGTATTGTAGAGTAAACCTTTAGGATTCATTTGAGAAATGAGAAATTTTTACGGTGTGCAACTTTTAAATAAGAGCGTAAAGTCGTTTGTATTATTTCACCAGTTGTTTCAGTCAGCAGAAGAAACGTTTTTTTACAATAATTTAATAACCTGGACAAAACATGTAAAAAAAACTTATTTTATAGACTAATTTACTGTTTAGGAACATATTTCTTAAAAGAAATTATCGATGAAAGCAATAGTAGAACCGTTAAATTGATTATTTCATTATCATCATTTCCTTTGCTGTTTCTATAATTTTATTCGCAGATTTCTTCAAAATATCGTCTTCACAATAAAAATAAAGAAAACCTCCAACAAGCGACCCTAGCTGAAAGAATTTGCACAAACCTGAGATATTTTAGAATGAATTTTACTAACTTACTTTCAATGATTTAAGTTTTTTCTTCTCAACCTGTTTTTATACATGCAACTAGTTTGTAGAAAAGTGTTTTATATATTTTTGTCCATTTTATTTAAGAATTGTAAAAGAAAACGTTTCTTCTGATGACTGAAACAACTTGTGAAATATTGCACACGACTTTACGCTACTGTTTAAATTGTACACTGGTATCAAATGAATCCTAAAGTGTGTCTCTAAAATACTACACTAACTACCTAATCTTACCGGTCTCATTTATTTAGTATTTTTTATCCATTTAAACCACTTTATTTGCACAGATAAACTGGAAAACATTCCTTTAAAACAGTTTTTGCGAAGAATTAAAAATGATATGGGATGGAGCATGATTGACTAATTTATGAATCGATGGATACAATTTTCATTGGGTAGAGAGAAAAGCTGTAATAACCGATTCAAAATTAAGTGTGGGTTGATGAATTTTTTTGCAAACAATCCCTTTAATCCTTCTTCCCTGGACAAGGTTTGAGTATATATATATATATATATATATATATATATGTATACTAGGTATGCAACAAGAAGTTATGCGTGCGAACTCCTCTCATATTAGACCGGAAATTCCGGCGAAAAAAATCGAGCACACCAAAGAGCAGACAAACAGACAACAGCAATATCCTTTGACAATTTTCTTATAAACAGGTTGTAGATGAATTAATATTGTCATTTTGAACGGATAGCAGATGAATGAACATTGTCCTTATGAATGGATAGCAGATGAATGAACATTGTCCTTATGAACGGATAGCAGATAAATGAATATCATAATTTTGAACGGATAGCAGATGAATGAATATTATCATTTTGAACGGATAGTAGATAAATGAATATTATCATTTTGAACGGATAGCAGATGAATGAATATTATCATTTTGAACGGATAGTAGATAAATGAATATTATCATTTTGAACGGATAGCAGATAAATGAATATTATCATTTTGAACGGATAGCAGATAAATGAATATTATAATTTTGAACGGATAGCAGATGAATGAACATTGTCATTTTGAACGGATAGCAGATGAATGAACATTGTCCTTATGAACGGATAGCAGATGAATGAATATTGTCATTTTGAACAGATAGCAGATGAATGAATATTGTCATTTTGAACGGATAGCAGATGAATGAACATTGTCCTTATGAACGGATACCAGATGAATGAATATTGTCCTTATGGATGAATATTGTCTTTATGATTGGATGCAGATGGATGAATATTTTAATTATGATTGGATTTTAGATGGATGAATATTGTCATTATGATTGGATTGCAGATGGATGAATATTGTCATTATGCTTGGATGCAGATGGATGAATATTTTCATGATGAACGGATTGCAGATGGATGAATATTGTCATTTTTAACGAACTAGCTGGAGAACCCGGCGTTCCCAGGTTACTGATAATTACTCCTATACCGTTTACCCGGTCATGGTCTTAAATTATGATCATAGCAGTGCCTGGCGTTGCCCGTTGAATTTTAAAGAAGAAAAAAATTAGATTATCGAAAATTGAAAAAATTTATAATTTTTGAATATTTATAGCCTATGTTACCCCTTGGGCCTTGGGTACCTATGGGTTCCCTCAAAAAAAATGTAGCCGATTATTTTGGCCAGCTATAGCAAAAATATACATATATATATATATGTATATGTAAAATATAAATTTAAATATTCATATGAAATAAATATAAATATATATATATATACAAATATATCTATTTGAGCGAAAAGCTTTATTATATAGATTGTATGTGGGTAGCATTATATATTTGCCCAAAAAAGTCCAAACAGTTCTTATCCGAATAGAAAAAGAAAGAAGTCAAAATTCTAAAAATTAAAGCTGGCTAGAAACTAAGATCTATTGTAAAATATAAACCTGAAGTGAGGCTAGGTGACATAACTCCATGAGTTGTTGTGGTTGCATGGTTGGTTCTCCCTCTCTGCTGTTGTTGCTGGGTAGGTGGAGAGGGTTGGGAGTTATATTCTGTACAGGGGTAGGAGTAGGTTGGAATAGAGGTCGGGGGATAGTAGTACGCTGCACTCTAATATTTAAACAATTAAACATTTAATCGAATACAAATAAATAAATAAATCGATTCAGCAAGAACAGTTAGTAATTATAGCCAATAAAACCTTTCAATGATTAAACTTCCTTAAATTATAACTAGCAATATACAAAACTAGAAATAAAGGACTTTCCTATAACCTGGAAATTTTAATTAACATTCTTTGTTGCAATGAAGGACGGATTTATATATTCAGGAACCAAATTTAATGAACTGGATTATTTATTTATTAATTTATTACCTATATGTAGACTAAATAGAACCCCTCTTGCTCTTAAAGGGACTGTTCAGGTAAAATATATGATACATGATATGGTATTTGAATCAGAGTTAAAACAGATCATATTCAGCAAATTCGGAACAAATCTTAAAGATTACGATAACCCAGAGGAGCCTAGAAATTTTAGGCGCTTCTATTATAATTCAAATGTTATATTTTTTCATTTTTAGGTCTCCGTTAAAAAAAGTCTTAAATATGAACCTGGTAGGTAGGGCGGGGTGGAGAGTAGGTATATATATGAGTAGGTAGACCGGTAGATATTATTGTACTAACCTGGTAGGTAGGGCAGGGTGGAGGGTAGGTATATATGTGAGTAGGTAGACCGGTAGATATTATTGTACTAACCTGGTAGGTAGGGCAGGGTGGAGGGTAGGTATATATATGAGTAGGTAGACCGGTAGATAGCATTGAACTAACCTGGTAGGTAGGGCAGGGTGGAGGGTAGGTATATATGTGAGTATGTAGACCGGTAGATATTATTGTACTAACCTGGTAGGTAGGGCAGGGTGGAGGGTAGGTATATATGTGAGTAGGTAGACCGGTAGATATTATTGAACTAACCTAAACAATTCAATTCAGAATATTTTCACCCTGGACTACATCGTTCTAATAAAATAACAAATAATAATGCTACATTCAAATGGTCAAATACTATTACTTGTAAATGTATTAACTATTTTCATTATAGAATCACTATTGTTTTAGAGAAATGAATAAGAACAAAGAAGAAAAATTATAATAAAAATAAACAACGCTCCGGGGGGATACTTATTGTTTAGAAGCCCTGGAATTGAAAAATTCATTCACTAGAGATATAACATAACAAAACAAATTTAAACTATACCATTAATATATGTAATATGTAATATATGTATGTATATTAAATGTGTGTGAATAAATCTTTAATAAAAATAATAATATTTCCCCCCCCTCCTCTTTTCCTGTTAGAGATTATAGGGTTAACGATTTCAGAAAATGTTTCATTCTTACAGGTTTGAAGAAGCGTTATTGTGCATGAAATGTTTTTAAAACGTTCAAATCATCACATTTAAATCATTTTCATCAACAATTTTTGCAGTTTCGCCATTCACGCTGAGAATGCATATTTTTAATTTGATTTCGAAAAAATTGTTTTTAACGGATTACTATTAATATTCCAAAAAAAACATTTTAACCTCAATCTCGATTTTAGATTAGATAAAAAAAAACACATTTTTTTTTTAATGAGATGAACTTTGATTTGCTTTTTTGAACTTATGTCATGGAATTTCGAACTGAATTTAAGTTGTTAATATTGAAAGTAAATAACCTATAGAAAAAGGGTGTCACTAAAACGAATTTTAATAAGAACTATTTTACTATTTAAAGGCACTGTAGATTTAATTATGCGATCCTAGAGTGGCAAATCCGATTCCCGATGGTACCCTCAAACCCAATGTTTGAGCAAAATGGATGTAAGTAAGTATCTCTATTTTATCATAAAATTGATTATTTTTAATCTCAGTTCTCCTTAAAAGCAATTTGTGGGTTTACACAGCAGGAGGGAAGAAAGGAAAATTTCAGAATTATACACTTTTTTAAATGTAAAAAGGAAAATTCTTTGGTGATAACGTTTTAAAGGGTACAGTTATTGTAATGAAGGGTAACATGAAACTACGTGTACAGTCCCTTTAACTATAATTAACACTCCTGCCACGGAACAACGAGATACGAATTTAAAAAAAGTATATTTTGAATAATAATATGACACAGGAAATATATGAGTTGTATGTCAAGAGCCTGCCTCGGGGTTCATAGCGTACTCTGCTTACAGGCACACGAGGCTTAAACAATACTACACAGTCCAGATTGCATTTAGTAGGCAAAGAAAATATATTATAGACTGCACTATTAGACTGATTGATGATCAACTATTTAAATATTATATAATGCATATATTACAATTTCAAACTGAAATATTATCCGGAAGTCCTTATTAGGAATTTTAACATTCTTTAAACGTATTTCCATTTTAGAATATCCGAAATATTTGATTTACGTTGATTATGAAATAATAAGTGATGGCTTTATTAAATTTAGTAATCTTTTTAATCGCTAATGGGACTTTAAATGATTTGTTTAAGAGATGATACATTCCAAAGACTGGTTGATAAGCATGAGAATACAGAGACCACATTTGGATCGTTTTTAATTTTGAATTACTTTCGAATATAAATATTGAGATATTGATGAAAACTACCGACCCAATACAAGATTGGAAAAGTATTTGAACCGATGAAAATCACGTTCGTATAAAAATATATTTTTAAATGGACGGTCGATATACTTAAATTGCCCCTACTTTTGAATTGTAGAATTTTGGAAAGGAATTGAGTCTTTGCCACAAACTCTGATTTTCTAATCACTATATCTTTGGAACCAAATGTTACAGACCTTAGATATTTCAAACTATGAATACTGTTGAATCAAATATTAAAGGTTTACAATATCGGGTTCTAAGGATATTGGGGTTTAAATATTTGATTTGTTTCAAAGATTCAATTCCTTTCCTACTTTTTTCTAGCTGCATAAATGCGCAAGTCACTTTTAGAGAGAAAAGCATTTGAAAAAAATAATAAGAAGCATCGGATATATAAATGGAAGGCCACTTGAAACATTTTATTCGCTAACCTTGTTAAATTTATTCATGAGCTAGGGTTGTTAATTTAATAATAAGAAGAATCGGAAATATAAATGAAAGGCCACTTGAAACATTTTATTCGCTAACCTTGTTAAATTTATTCATGAGCTAGGGTTGTTAATTTAATAATAAGAAGAATCGGAAATATAAATGAAAGGCCACTTGAAACATTTTATTCGCTAACCTTGTTAAATTTATTCATGAGCTAGGGTTGTTAATTTAATTTGATTGCGTAATATCAACTACAATCTTCTTACGCGTTATTTAATCCTTATTTACAGGACATTTAGTGCTTGATGTGGTTCATACGCAAATTAATACCTTGCGGAATGAATGAAAAGATGAATGAATAAAAGAAGAATAGAAAAAAGTGATTTCAACAATTGATAAATAAATGAAGGATTAAGGGATAGATAAAAAATAAATAGAAAAAAATTGCTTAGAAAATGATTGTTGAATAAATAAATCAAAAAGAATGAATTAAGTATAAAAATATTAATTTTCAATGCTGCCGAAGAATTCCTAGGGTTAATATATTATTACTTTTCGTCCCCGTCATTTCCTTGGCAATGAAACGAATAACATTCAAATGGAAAGTTGTCAACCAGTTTTTATCTAATCTGACATGTTATGCATTTTTTAAATTTCCGAAGGAACAGAAGGAATATTGGGGGGGGGGGATGGTGTTTCACCCCGATCAACTGTCAGTTAAAGTTCCCCCTAACCCTTTTAATCAAACAAGATTACTGATTAAACGTCAACAAGTAAAATGATTGATTATCCAAAGGATGAAAAGATAAAAAATTATAAATTAATAAATTCATGTGTTTACCTGTCCGACAGGGTTCAGAATTCCGTTGTGAGGATTCAATCCGTTTAGTCCGTTTAATCCGGTCTAAACAGACATAATCAATATATTTAATCCGTTCAATCCGTTTTAAACTAATATTATATATTTAATTCGTTCAGTCCATTTAATCCGGTCTAAACAGACATTATTAATATTCTTAATCCGTTTAATTCGGTGTTAGCAATTATTATACATTTAATTCGTTCAATCCGTTTATATTGGAGTAAAATTATAAGTATTCTCTAAATACTACAAGTACCTGATATATTGGAGTAGAATTATCAGTATTCTCTACTACAAATACCTGATATATTGGAGTAGAATTATCAGTATTCTCTGCTACAAGTACCTGATATATTGGAGTAGAATTATCAGTATTCTCTACTACAAGTACCTGATATATTGGAGTAGAATTATCAGTATTCTCTAAGCTATATTTTAGATGAGAAAGTCTTTTCTCGTGTTTCTTTCCCTCAACGTGAATCCTAGGAAGAAAAAATCAAACACTAATTTATTTTTGGATCAAGATTAGCCTAGCTTCATGGTTGTGTTTAACTATTTGATAATACACAAAATATTCTAATTTTAATTTAGAGTTTAAGACTATCTTCACGCTCTAAGCCTTGCCCAGAAACCAGAATGCCATGGATTCCAAATATTGTGGAGTTGTGAGTATTCTGTATCAGGCGAACACTCCCTTTAAACTCCACTATAGTGAAGTGTTTTGTTGGAACAAATCTATCATAACTTTTATGATAAGATCTCCGCAGCATAATGCGCTATTGATCCAACCTTCTCCTATGAATTGAAGCGCTGTAAATATTCTTGTATTATTGTTATCATCATTAATAATTGGAATTTCCTGTTTCAAAGTTGAAAAATATTTCTAATGCATAATACAATTTGATTATTTGAGATTGCATTTGCGTGAAATTTTTTCTTAAATTTTCGTTTAAATGATATCAGTTTTGTTTAAGATGCTTAGATACTTTTATTAACATAAAACATAACTTAAGAGAAAGTTTTTATGGTTTTTATAAATTATTAAAAATGTACACTCAATTTCAAACATTAAAAAACTTGTATTTATAAGCGGTCAAAGCTTTTTGAATGTTGAAACTGTAATTTGTCTTTAGACTCATAAAACTTTGCTAAAAATCGTATTTGCACTATTCGCACTATTTTGAAATGTGTAATCGTGTCCTTGCAATATTTAGTTGTGGTGGGGCGAACAAATATAATTTAACTGTTTGCTGTTAATTTGTTTGCATAAGGAGTTAAACGTCAAATTTGTAAAGAATGGGGGGATTTGTATGAGTAAATGTATGGGATGGGGGTGTGTGTCTGTATCGGTGTGTGTGTGTGTGTGTGTCAATCAAAAGAAAATCTTGTTTCACGAGTATGTAGTAAATGGAGAACTCTTAAAACTTCGTCCCAAACTGTATCAGTCCAGGTACCGTACAACCCGTCCGCAATCAAAGTCAACAAGGACACGATCCACACGGCTACAATCCTGTGAACTATCATCGCCACTACCACTGGGCGCGATCTCGTTAGCTATCGGTGACAATAAGGGCACTAGCTCTAAATGCCACAGAGGGACACAAGCCTTATCTATCAAAAAAGCTATTAATCGAGCTTTAAATGCCACACAGGGACAGAAGCGTAGCTATCAAACAAGCTATTAATTAAGCTCTAAATGTAACACAGGGACTCAAGTCTGGCTATCAAACAAGCTCTTAATCGATCTATTTCAAATACCGAGGAACAATCTTAGCCCGAATGTTTCAATGTTTAGCTATCAAACAAGCTCTTAATCGATCTATACCAAATACTGAGGTACAATTGAGGTTTATATGTTACAAGTTAAAGTTAATAGACGTAATTACAATTCCTACGTTGATATCAATATCACATGAGTAAGACAAGCATGTTATGCATTTACAATGTACGTATTTATAAGATTAGCGAGGATAGATATAGCATAGTTAAGCTATCTCCACACATGTTTAAAGCGTAGTTTAAGTTGAAACGTATGCATTTAAAGGATTAAAATGGATAGATATACATCTTACTGCAGGTTTAAAAAATATCATGTGACCCGATATTTATTACATTTATTTTAAGCTTTGAAAAATAACATATATACAAGAAGCGACCCAATCAATCCATTTTCATGTCATCCTAACAGTTGCTATTAACTCTGTAATCATTGATCCTAACTGGTACTGTTAACACTGTAATCCTTGATTCTTACTGTCACTGTTAACTCTGTAATTATTGATCCTATATGTTGATGTTAACTCTGTAATCCATGATCCTAACTGTTATTATTAACTCTGTAATTCTTGATTTTAACTGTTAATGTTAGCTCTGTAATCCTTGATCCTAACTGTTACTGTTAACTCTGATATCTTTGATCCTAACTGTAACGGTTAACTCTGCAATTCTTGATCCTACCTGTTGATGTTAACTCTTTAATCCTTGATCCTAACTGTTTTGTTAACTCTGTAATCCTTGATCCTTACTGTTGCTGTTAACTCTGCAATCCTTAATCCTAACTGTAATTGTTAATTCTGTAATCCTTGATCCTTACTGTTACTGTTAACTGTGTAATCCGGGATTCTTACTGTTACTGTTAACTCTGTAATCCATGATTCTAACTGTTAATGTTAATTCTGTAATCCATGATCCTAACTGTAATTGTTAATTCTGTAATCCTTGATCCTAACTGTAATTGTTAATTCTGTAATCCTTGATCCTTACTGTTACCGTTAACTCTGTAATCCATGATCCTAACTGTTGATGTTAACTCTGTAATCCATGATCCTAACTGTTGGTGTTAATTCTGTAATCCTTGATCCTTACTGTTACTGTTAACTGTGTAATCCATGATTCTATTTGTTGATATGTTATCTCTGTAATTCTTCTAATGTCTGTGTATATTATTGTAGTACAGTACCTTGTTTGTTTACATGAGTTGAGCTGGGTATTACATACTCTGCAGTAATGATGAAGACCACATCTAAACAAAAGTATTATTAGATAATAAATATATATATATACAACAATGATAGGATGGATGGTAGGATGGATGAATAAATGAATGGATGGCCGTAGTATCTAAAAGAAAAGGTTTGAATGAGTGAATCAAATTCATTCCGTCTGGTGAATATATTAAAACATAGATAGATATGAAGATAGTCAGACAGAATTATCTATCTATCTATCTATCTCTGTTAAGCGTCTACGTGATATGTGATGATCATTTTCTTCTATGGTATACGTATGTATACTCTATACTTGAGACTAATCCATCATTCGTCTTCTTCTCTTAATATACATATCTTCCTATACTATACTATCCTTCTATCTTTCTATCCCCGTGTTCTTTCTGTCCTTGTATCCTTCTATCCCTGTATCCTTGCAATCCTTATATCCTTCTATCCCTTGTATCCTTGCAATCCTTTTATCCTTCTATCCCTGTATCCTTCTTATTCTTATATCCTTCTATTCCTGTATCCTCCCTATCCTTATATACTTCAATCCCTGTATCCTCTTTCCTTCTATCCTTCTATTCCAGTATCCTTGCAATCCTTATATCCTTCTATCTCTGTATCCTTCCTATCCTTATATCCTTCTATTCCTGTATCCTTGCAATCCTTTTATCCTTCTATCCCTGTATCCTTGCAATCCTTTTATCCTTCTATCCCTGTATCCTTGCAATCCTTTTATCCTTCTATCCCTGTATCCTTCTTATTCTTATATCCTTCTATCCCTGTGTCCTCCCTATCCATGTACTCCCTGTACTCCCTGTGCTCCCTGTGCACCCTGTGCTCCATACACTCTCTCACTCCCTGCACTCTCTGTACTCCCTGTGAACCCTGTGCTCCCTGCACTCTCTGTACTCCTTGTACTCTCTGGATCCGAACAAGGACGACAAGAATGGTTTCTGATATGCAAGGAAATATTAAACAAAGTGTCCCAATTGAAACCGTTTAATCTGATTGTAGACATAAGTATTGCGTACTCTAGAGGTTTCGGTTAAAGCCTAGTCCAGACAAGGATATAGTTTGCGCCTAAGGCTAACTGACCAGCATACCTACATAGCTGGATAGATAGATAGAAAATGAAAAGGAAAAAAGACAGTTAGAAAGACAGACAGTGATAAAGACATTTATGACAAATTCATTGTCAAATAGACAAATAGAATTATAGACAAAAAGACAGATAGAAATTTTAGCTCGTAGACTGTTATATTATATATGTTATATATATTATACTGTTCCATAGACTGTTATATTATATATGTTATATATATTATACTGTTCCATAGAGGCAGAGTGACAAAAAAGGTGTAAATTTGTCCTTTTCATCTGAATTTTTTATATCAAATTATTTCTCGATTTTTAAAGCCAGCAAGAAGGATGAATAGGACTACCGAGAGAAAGACAGATAGGCTGAATGATAGACAGATTACTAGACAGACATATATGATAGATAGCTATGAAATAGACTGATAGATTATACTGTTCCATAGAGGCAGAGTGACAAAAAAGGTGTAAATTTGTCCTTTTCATCTGAATTTTTTATATCAAAATATTTCTCGATTTTTAAAGCCAGCAAGAAGGATGAATAGGACTACCGAGAGAAAGACAGATAGACAGAAATAAACTGATTGACAGATAGGCATATAGACACCCATAAGCTGAATGATAGACAGATTACTAGACAGACATATATGATAGATAGCTATGAAATAGACAGATAGATTGCTGTAGGTTTCTAAATATCTATATTTACGATTTTGTCAATTTCGTCAAATTTCTTGTAATTTTCTAATGTTGGTTAAGAAATGTTGACATTTAATGTATTTCTAAACCAGTGAACAATTCTAAAGTACTTTGTCAGCTTTTCAAAATATAGAAAAATGAAAATATGTTTGAAAGTAATAAATGATTGATGAGTATTGTTGTGAAGAGATCTCTGTTAGTGTGAGAAAACTATTTTATTTATTTGTAAACACATTTGTTCAAGTTAGAACACGCCAGGTTTTGTTCAATGCTTTCAAAAGATATAAAATAACTATATTTATTCACAATCATCCTGAATCTGAACCAAACAAGATGAATGAACATGAATGACCAATCTTTGCCCTCATTATGCTAACAAAACAGGCTCCCCTGGACTCTAGTTTTTACACAAAATTTAATATGTTCAAATATTGAAGGTAGAAATATTGTAGAGAATCCGGCATTGAAGCCTAGGGTATCAAAATAAGAAGAGGGGGAGGGGTCAAGGGAGGGAGTCGAAAACCTAGGAACAAGGGGGTCAGAATAATGAGATAAAGGGACGAAAAGACATGTGAAGGGAGGGAGTAGGAAACCTAGGAACAAGGAGGTCAGAATAATGAGATAAAGGGACGAAAAAAAAGAAAAGACATGTGAAGGGAGGGAGTATTGAGAAGTCAAAATGATTACAACTTAAAAACAAACTTTATATTGAAATAGAACTGAAAAGAAGAATGCTAAAGAAAGATAGATATTTAATTTAACAAATGAAAAAAACTGTTTTAAAACTAAAATGTTTAAAATTTGAATTGAAACTGTTCAGCAGAATCTTAAAGATATATAGTGTGAAAGAATTAGCTAGATATTGAAATGAAATTAATAAGAAGATTGTTAAAGGACTACAGTTTGAAATAAAGCTACATATTGAAATGAAACTAATGAAAATAATGTTGAAGAATTATAGATTAAAATGAAGCTAGATATTGAAAAAGAACTCTTTAATTGAAATAAAGATGATAAAATAAATAAAAGAAAGCTAGATATTTAAATGGAAATAAAAACAGTTTCCAAGATTGATGACGTAACTCTAGCGCCGATACCTCATGGCTAAGTCATCAATGCTAATGGACTTTCTAATTTATTTATTTTTATTCAAGAAGAAGCTGGATGAAGGGGTGAGGATTTTAATCTTAAAGATACAGTTTGAACTGGATTTTGGATTCGGGGTTAGGACTAAAATGAAATTATATATTTAACCAATCAATATAAATAGTTCAAGAGATTTAGGGAATCAGGGAAAGTGGGATTAGGATGCTAGGATAAGAGGGGGGGTCCATAAATGGGGATTATAACCTGTAAGTAGTATAGGGGAGGGGAGGGGGTATTTGGGTTTCACATTGTGGTGAAGGGTATAGATTATTAGAGGTATATGCTGTGCGTGATGATTTCAAGGAATTGAGATTAAATTACATTTACCGAGATTGGGTAATATGCCAATTAACTATATATGCTTAATTAGTTATTGAGCAGAAGTAGGCCAATTATACGATACTTTCATTTAGGCGCGTTCATTTCTCTTTCTTCCAACCATGCTACGGTCTTGTCATGCTGAGCTGTAGTGTTGGTCCGTAATATCGACAACGATACTGTTCTTGTTAACGTTCAAGTCACTTCGAGGAACTATAGCTTTCCCTTATATTAAAATGCAGTCTCCAGACTCCAGGGAAATTTCAATCTAGCAATTTTACCAAAAGCTTGAAAATAAACGTATTTAGTGAAATGGGTTTATTGACACTGTACAATTGCTGTGATTCGTGTTTTTTTGGAATATTTTTGAGTCTTTGATGTCGTATTCCTATACCACACATGCAATTTTTATGTGTCTCACTGTATAAAACTGCAAAGCTACTGAGGTAATTTAAAACTAAAAAGAATACATATTGCTGCTGATAGGATATAGGAAGGAAACAGGAATAGGTTTAATTCGTTCAAAAGGGGTTCTTTTAAAAAGGGAAGGATATTGTTTTTAGTGTAGCTGATATAGAGGAGGGAAGTGACTCCCCCCCCCTTCATCCCATAAATCATGCGTTTTACCGCATAGATGTAGTGTAATAGTAAAGTACTTAATAGGACTTTAAACCAGATGATAGTGACTGCCTTACATTATGCTATTTCATGGTTTAGACAACCTTATTTCATATGTTAAAGAAACCATGATTACTCTCCTCAACTCTTATTTTATAATCAGATGATTTTTGAATGAGCGGGAGCACATTTTGGTTCCGTATGTAGAAGAGAAATTTTAATATTTGTATGAATAAATAATACAGTATTTGTATCTTTGCATAATTCTAGCTAGCTCGGGCCAGGTTCAGGCAAAAAGCTTAATTGGTTGTATATGCGGGTAAAAAGATTATACGCAACGTTTTTTGATAATTGAATGTTTAACGGGTAAAAGAAAATTGAGTGCGGTGGGTCCAGGGACATCCTTAAGTTCCACTTCATACCAGGGCCAAGGAGATAGCCAAGGGGAGGGCCAAGGGGATAGCCAAGGGGAGGGCCAAGGGGAGGAATAAGGGGAGGACCAAGGAGATAGTCAAGGGGAGGGCCAAGGGGATAGCCAAGGGGAGGGCCAAGGGGAGGAATAAGGGGAGGACCAAGGAGGGAGAAGGATGAATAGGACTACCGAGAGAAAGACAGATAGACAGAAATAAACTGATTGACAGATAGGCATATAGACACCCATAAGCTGAATGATAGACAGATTACNATGGGATAGCCAAGGGGAGGGCCAAGGGGAGGGATAAGGGGAGGACCAATGGGAGGGGCTAAGTTGAGGGCCAAGGGGGGTTGGTGGAGAGCGCGGATTTGGGTATTCATGAAAGGGAAAGGATAAAGAGGTGGAGGGGCTAGAATTTCTGGTGACAGTAAGCGTAATTTCATGTGACCTTAAGAGGGACATACCCTATTCACAACGGTACCCTTTAATCCTTGGAATGATTATTGAGAAGAGAAATATCTCTAAAATGCAATATGTACAAATTGAAGCGTACACTAACTTACTGTGTGAACTCACGCGGATGGAGTCAACTTTATTTCTGGAAACAAAATATAAAATATTCCTTGTCCTACGCAGTACGCAGTTTTTAAAAATTCGAATTCTAGATATTAAATATTAATATCTCATAAATATAAAACAACTTTGTAAACAAAGTATTCAACAAGTACAAGCGTT